AATGCTACTCCATCACTGGGTTACCACCCAGCATTAAACTCACTGATACCCATTTGAACCCCTGGGTGAAGAGAGGCTCTGTGAAAGCAAAGTGTCTTGCCTAAGAACACAACGTAATGTCCCCAGCTAGGGCTTGAACCCAGACCACTCAATCTGGAGTCAAGTGCAGTAACCATGAAGCCTCAGGCCTCACCTTAAAATCAGAATGATATGTGTATTTTTCTGTTACTAGCATTTGGTGGAAGACTGCAGGGTGGCTTAATGGTCTGTGTGCTGGGTCTGGGGTCTAACAGACCCAAACTAACATTTATGTTAAGTTTACATTGCACAGCCAAAATTACTTTTTAATTTTTTAAGAATGAGCAAAAAATAGTTACCCTTGCATTAATACTCAGAATTGTGGAGACACAGGTTATCAAAGTTAATTAGAAGGGTATACTGCAAAAATGTATTTGGCTTGTTGGTTGCCTCAAAGAAAGCAATTATCAAGTATTAATTTTTTGAGCTTAGTTTCAATAAAATTTTTTGTGTGGAAGGCAGTTTTGGTATGGAATGTAATTCTTTTAAAATTTTTGTTTTTGATGATGAAAACAAACATTTTTAGCCTCTGAAGGGGACAAAGTACCTGATACCAAATCAAAAGATGGAGAAGATGAGGAGGAAGAAATTGAAGTGGAGATATCAGATGAAGAAGATACTACACCAAACCCTGCAGATACCAAAAAGACTGTGATCAAGAGGTAATTAATTTTATTTTTCTGCCATTTTTTGAAATTTTTCTTCTGTTGTTAGGCTCTCGTGAATCTTTCAAAGGAGTGAGTGCAGAAAGGTGGGGCTGGGAAGAAGGAACAGTAAAGACTAATGCACTTAAAATGTCTACTTGCTCCTCAGAGATAGAATAACCGACAAGGGAGACACATGGAATCTACCAGAGGCTGGTGCATTTATCACATTTTGCCCAGGAATCATGAAAGAACCCTTGTGGATCTGTTGTTCCTTGTGGAGTCCCAGGTCCCTCTCTCCTCCCATAGACAGTAATGAGCTCTTAGTGAGCAATGTGATTGAACTATCTCGTGATGGCCCACCAACTCTAGAGTCTATGGAAGATGCTACAGGAAGCATAACAGTGGGTTTGTTGCACAGTGCCTCTGATTTTAAGGGATATGAAGTGGTTATTAAGACACTGGTTGACCCAGAAAGCAACGAGTGGTATGATTTGGAAACTAGAATCGTTTGGGATACAGCAGGTATTGAAATAATATGAAATCTTGTTTACTCTAGGGTGAATTACTTTTAGGCTGTTTCTCATCACTTTTTATGTTCTCTGGACTGGACATTTTGAGGACCTCCACAGAATGCTAACCAGGTCTTAAGCACTTTCCTCAATTATCTGATTTATTTGTTAAGCTCTTGAAAGTTTAATCAGGGAGTAGGTATCTTTAAGCACTTTAAGAGATTCTTCAAAACTTACACAATAACTCAAAAATCTATAGGTTGAAAGTTTTAAGAGTGATAAATCCCTTCAGATGACCTTACCCTTAATATTTCTCGGTCTCTCTTTCGCACAGGGTTAGAGTTCCAAGTTTTTGCTTTAGAATTCCCTGGGTAACCACAGGTAACTTAAAGGGAATTCCAGTAGAAATGGTTAGGTCTACTACATGTACTGATGTTCTACCGAAAATCTCCACGTTGCAGAGATGCGGCCAGCCATTTCCAAGTGGACGTGCCCTTACGCTGAAGCTACTTCTACAATAACCCGTTTTTCCTCTTTCGCCGTGATTTGGCGCCTCAAGTCTTTTACGTTTCCAAAGCCAAACTCTATGACCCCTGAGTTTATCTGTTCAGTGCCAGACTATCCAAACGTCAGTATTGTAATCCCTTGGAACTCTCTTCCTGAGAGCACCGACTTCTGCTTGACTCTGAAGGTAAGTAAACCATTTTTGGCTCGTGGAGAGCTATCGGGATGGTTGGGGAATCAGGATGTCAGGGGTAAACAATAAAAAAATTGTAATCGATTTCCGATCGTCTCAAGTTCGGCAGGCGCATTCATGCATTCGTTAAATGGTCGTTAAGAATGCTCTTATTCCCTTGGAACTCTGTTCTTCATAGTGCAGACTTTTGCATTTTGGTCACGCTCTGAAGGGATCGTTCTATTTGACGTCGATGGTGTGGTGTCACTCGGCCGTCGTTATCGATAAGAGTACAGACCACGCTAAACCACTGTCGATTTTTTTTTAAGTGCCTGATGTGTCAGCGGTGGCGGCTACGCAAATCCTCTCGTAGATGATGCACTGGAACGCAGCGGTCAAACGTCAGTGCATGGTCCTGTACATGTGCAAATGTTGTCATGGTTAAGGCTGGCTACGGCTAGCAAGGCATCATGGTTAGGTGGCGTGCTTTTAGGCATTCAGAATCAGTTTGTATCATAAGGGTTACAAACAACCGCACAAATCAGTAAGTCATGGTGTATGACAAATTAAGCCTCGTGTTCGTAAAGTCTCGAGTTTTTCTTTACCCTACTTTTGTTTCATTTTCAAATTTCAAGGGACACTCCAAATGTTTCGCCCATGAATTGCGTGGCAGCGGTCGTTTCTGTTTTGCGCCGGAAATTGGCGCACTACTGGCCAAAAGTGAACCATTTACGCATTTATCGAAGTTTCTCAACTTCTATGTGATAAGCAACACGTTACCATAAGAAAAAAATTGCGATTCGACTTAATTTAGTATCTAACCTGCGAAAAGTAGAAGTTTTTGTTGAACTGTCAAATGGGCAAATGTACACAATTCTTTTGTTTTTCTTTTCGCTTTTGCTGTCAGATTCAAGAACCACCAAGCACTGACCATAAAAGAGAGGAAGTGTTAGTTGGTCCGATTCTTCACGTATTGTGCTCGCATGAAGTGAAGCTTTCGGAGCCAGCGAAAATAAACCTTCCTCTTGAATTTTTCGAAGGGAAAAGAGAACTGGTGCATTCCGGTCAGTGGAGGATATTTCACTTTCAACAGGAGTGGGCGGACATCACAGATCAGTTGGAGATGTCCGTCTCCCTTTCGGATGGAATAGTGACATTCAAAGTGAAAGCTTTCTGCCGGTTAGTATAATCTGTGTATTTGCATTTGCTAAGCACATTTAACTCGAAAGTAACGAAGCGTACTTAGTTAGAAATCTCGCGATTCCTTTTCCGCCGATAAAGCATGCTTTCGAACACGGAATGTTATTAATAGTGTCAGGCATTTGAAAGTAACATTTAACGTAATCGTAATGAGTGTGGCCTTTTCTCGCCGGTTGCAATGATTTAAGTTAGAAATTATGCAGTAAGATATCGAACTATGCATATTATAATGGTTTATGAATGAAATTACAATTATTCGTTACCGTTTTCGCGCAGGTTTTGGCCTTTGATAGCCACTGTTAATGCTGGTGATATCTCTAATCTGGACCGGAGATCCATGAGACAACGAGCTGGATTTTTAGCTTGCATTTGTCGTGATGACGAGAGGTTCTTGCTGAAATTATTCTGTTTTCCTTTGAATTGGAAATCCAAAGTGAATGAGTACATTTCATGTTACAATGTGATTTATCAAGGCGATGGAAACTCGAAGAAACCGCTATTCAACGAGGACCAAACGTTTGTGTCTCTTTCGGAAGGACTGAAGGTGCACGGAGAAAAAAATATTGAAGACCTTTCGTTAACGTAAGAGTTTGTCACCTTTGTGATTATTAGGGACTTTAAGCAGTCAGGACGGCAACGCCACGGAAGACGTCGATTGAAAAATGAGTTTCTACTTTTAGTTAGAATTTCGAAAATGGCTGGATGTGTTAACCGTCTCATAGGGCGCCAGACCTCAAACTCAACATAACGCATAAAAGTAGCGTCGAGTTCCAAATNAAATTAAAATAACTTGCCGCCGCGGTTTAGCTTCGCAGACGACGCAAATTTTGGTGATTTCACGTTGTTGTTTTGCAAAGGACGGCTAAGAAATGTACAAAGTTGGAAAACGCATGTGCTGGGCTATTGTTCTGCCAATTAGATCTATTGTTTTTCCACGTTCTCGTTGCCGTAGCCGTCGTGGTTTGCTTAAAGTCCCTATTAATATCACTTGATGCGGATTCGTGTGATATTAGTTTCATTTTGCATGTCCGCCCGGCTTAACTATATAGCGCTTCTAGCAAAGAACTGCGACTGTTAATCCTTGACTCCGTCATGAAGAGCGAGCCGGCATTTTAGTGATTACCATAATCATAATGGCTTGTCTTCGAAGAAAACGCTAAGGTGCACTACCATCGCGGCAGTAGGCAGCGAGAATGCTGAGTTTACGTGACAGCATTAGGGACCACAGGTATGCGCTCCTTAGATATGCGCTCCTTAGCTATGCGCCCTTTAGCTATGCGCTTGTTAGCTATGCGTTTCTTAGATATGCGCTCCTTAGATATGCTTCCCCCAGATTTGCAAAAACTGGGCTACAAAGTTAATATTTCAACCAGCAATCCACATGCTCAATTTTTATTTTCCGCGGATAGATTTCATTTTTAATTCTGGTTCCAAGAATCTCCGTTAGATTGCTTGTAGACAATCTGAGAATTTCCCTTGTTCTTTTTAATGTCAGGTTTTTCGGGGATGGAGAAGACCAAGAAAATGTGTACGTTACCATTAGGGATAAAAGTAACATGTCAGTAGACTTCTTGAAATGGCTGAACGCTGAAGGGAAAAGAGACCCCGAATGGATATGCAAAGTTCCTATGATTCGAAGATTTTCTCCGCAGGTACACGAATTTTCTTACTGCTTATCAACTCCTAAATCAGTGTGAAGTTGTGATAGAAAGGCACAGCACCGACTGTAAACCATTCTCTTCGCCATCTTATGTGATTAGCGGTACAGATTGTTAGACAAGCTAATTGTTTTCCCCGCACATCCTTAACCTGCACTACGGTTAGCGTCACAAGCTCGCGATCGTTCATCCGATCAGCCATGTTTTACTTAGAGTTGGAATAGACTGCGGGGGTGGGGGTGGGGGAAAAGGAGAATGTCCTTATCCCCTCTTCTTTGTTTGACCGTCGCTCAGTCCCTAGATGAAAATATCGTCCGTCTCTCCCCAGCCTTCCGCTGCTGTGAAGACCATGGAGGGCCTGTATGATTTTCACCATTAAGAAACTGAGTGCTCGTTCGCCAAAATACGCCCCTCCTACCCCCCCCTCCCCAGCCTTACTCATACTTCCGTTTATTGTGATCAAATACAAGATAATCGTGAAGATGGCAAAGATCAGGGGCAAAGTTAAATGATTGTAAAACCTGAGACACTGTTGATTGGCTATTTTTTAATACGTTTCTCCTCGTTGGTGAATAAGCGTTGAATCTGCATCAGTTTTTGGGCCTTAGGATGGAACCAGTGGAGGTTTTACTGAACATAGCAAAGGGATAACAAGTTCCATCGCTGAAGGAAGGCGTTAGGTTGCGTTTAGAGGAATATTGTCATCAATAACTTCAAGTTTAACGTTGAGAGCGTTTCAGTTATTTTGCTTAAGTTGTACAGGAATTATAATGATGGTTGTTTTCATTTTCTTGAAGGATCCATCTTCATGCGCTCAGTACATTCCATGTAAAACATTACTCAGGAAAACAGAAATGATGGTGAGTTAGTGTTCCAAAGATTTTATATGGCGAATTTTAAACTTATGTACATAAGCACCTCTCGGCGATTGATATTTGGTTTGATTGGCCACTAAAGAAACCTTGTAGATAAGCCATACAAACTTGGTAAAAGGTAGTCTGCTCTGTCAGTTGAGTGTTCGATTGTCACCTCTCGAGAGAGCTGAAGGTGAGAGGTTTTCTTATAATCTCCGTGGTACACTATGTCACAGCACTTTCTTCCGCTGTGCAATTTTTGAATGTGGTTTTCGTGTAATTCCTTTTTGTTTAACGATATTGAGGATGACACTGACAAATTCCGATCAAAAGTATGTTGAGTGCGTGTCCAAACCTGATATATTTCTTATAAAGGGGCAATTTTGCATGTTGATGAAATAGAAAAGAAAAAAGAAAAAAAAGGGGGAAGGAAAGTTCCAAAACGATCGGGTAATATTTCAAATGGATTTTATCATACATATGCATCCTGGGCATTAAAAATGTACCTTATCGTAAAACTTAATAGGCACATGTTCCTTATTTTGTCCTTGTAGAAAACCCCAGTGGAGTTTTTTGGCATTCCAGTTAATGATGAAATCTTGTCAAATCCGCGGGCTAGAGACGTTCTCGCGATTGGAAAACAATTCGTTGGTTCAGAGGTGTATGAAGATCTCCTTCACCGCCTTGAAAAAGCCAGTCTGAATGAAAGGCAGACAATACAAAGCTTCTTTGAGATTCTTGCAGGATTGAATATCGAATTCCAAAATGGGTGCTTTGACGCACTTGTCAAGAAACTGAGTACCCATGGCGGATACCAACATGTGGCTGATCGACTCAAGGAAGGTAACGAAAATAAAACTTCAAGCTTTGGTCTCAGTTTTACTTCTGTTTGTAATTGTCCTGTCCTTAATTTAGGGATAAGCTCCGACCTAGTCTAAGCGCATTTTATTTTTCCGTTGTTCAAACCTAGAACTGAAAACGAGAGAAAGGCGAGTTCTCGAGATTTCTCGGCGGGTCTTTCTAGATACCCGTTGTGAGGTCCAGCTTTAACCGAGCCAAGAATCGCAGAGGGGCTGGGGCCAAGCTTGGTTGATTTGCTCTCGTAGAGGGGGTTTGTGATACCTGAAGTTGATCAATTATTGGCATATATCTGATGCTGAGGGCAGCATGCTTGCAGTCAATTTCGTATGATCTAACATATGTTGGTTTTCGTCCTTTTAGGTAAAGATGCTGTTTGCAAATCATTGCAAACGAATCGGGAAGTGAAGAAAATTGTATCAGAAAAAGTGGAGCATGATTGGAAGAGCCTGGCGAGAGAGCTGGGGCTTACAGACGGAACAATTGATGCGATTTCTGAGGAAGAGCAAAATAAATGTGGAGAATGCTGTTATAAAGCTCTACAATGATGGTGTGAAAAGAACGGGGCTTCGGCCACTATCAGAAGAGTCATGATCGCTCTGAATAGAATAGGATTAGCGGACATCAACAACAACATTGTAGATTGTCTTAGTTTGAGTTGTCTGGATCAAAGTTAGACTCAGAGAACTGATAAAATTGAAAGAATTAAGCATGCAATTGGTAACTTAAAAGACGTAACTGTGTACTTCATTCAATGCACAACGCACTTTGTTACACATACAACGAAACGAGCAATCACGTGATGCCAAATTTGTCACGGTCAGGAAAACATCATTCCCACACTTCCACGGACAATGGAAAATTTGCATGATTTGATAATGGAACTTTGTCATGCGTACACATATGCAGAAAATTGGCTTTAGATTAAGACTAATAGCTAAAATTGAAAGTCTTTGGTAAATATCTGTAAAATTTTGAATTTTTCAAAGTTTGAGATCTTTGGATATGGTTCAAAAGTCTGGCACTTTGATTTTAAAATATTTTATGCGAGAGGGAGAGTTTACCACTCAGCTTCTTGCTTTTATCCTGAACGTAAAAACGTTAAAACTTTGCTCTTTAGTATCAGTGGTCTCAAAATTGGAAATTCAGCAGAAGGAAATTTTCGAGTTGCAAGAACACTTACTTCGAAAATGAGGCCAGGTGCAAAATCCCTCTCGCCGTGAAAATGAGTTTTATTCTATGAGAGCAAAAAAAAACAATTTCATATCAAAGTTTCGCATATATCCGTCCTTTTCAGGTGTAAAGGGGCCCCGAGCATATCGGCGAAAGGGCTCTTAGCTTCACACTCTTTCCATTCTCTGTATCAAAAAGATCTTTAATAAGGACATGGTAACATGGAAATGTCACCGAAAGGTGCTTTCTTAGACCTTCCTAGGTTAATTTTAATACGAGATATTCTTTAAACTTTGTTCAGATCAGTAGAAAACTGATCATTTAAGGCTGACTGCATTTTTTGGAGCCCAACATTTTAAAGAATATTATGCCCAAAGCAAATTTTCATCTAAGTTTGTCTGACAGGATAGACTTGTTTGGTTGTATACGTAAATACTCGTAAGTAGATCAGTATTTGTACTACCAGGAGCCAAGTTTTAGTCGGGGAAAAGTGTACCATACGATGATTACACACTGACAAATTGTTGTCATGAAAAGAATATGGCTTATGAAATAACTTATTAACAGAAAAAGTGAGCTACTAAATAACTATTTAAGAATGCTTAAATATGAAATAACGATGCTTTTTTGCAATTTTTCTCAATGATCTCTCCATATCAAGCTATGATGTTTATAATTTTTAGCAGATCTTCCTAACCCCTCATCTGCTCGAAGTCAAATGTTCCAAATTTCTAAATTTGTTTCAACGACGTACGAGGACTATCAAGGGTAAACCGGAGTTTTCTGGCCGAAAACTCTTAAATGTGATGTAGTGACGTCTGAACGTTGCCGAGTCTCGGTGGACTACAAATGGCAAAAAATACGATAAAACAGCATGACAAATGCTATCTTTTCGTATAAACGTGCGATTAGAAAGTCGTCGTCATTGTTGTTGTCATCATCACCATCATCATTTACCTGTTGTCATCGTAATCAGTATCATCGTCATTATAATCAAAATCAGCAGCAGCAGTAGTAGCATTTTAAATTTGTCAATCAGGTTGTGAACTGGCCAATCAGATGTAAATTGATCGAAATTCGAAATCGAGCGGAGGCGGGTGACGCACGTACACACGCACGCACGTGCTCACACACGCACGCACGCAGGTACGTACGCACGTACGTATCCACATAAATGCACATGTACGCACGTATATACGTACACACATACGTGCTCACTTGCCTACTTACTATGTGCTTATTGATCGAGTGGGAGGGCCGGACGGGAAAATATTTGGCTCAAGGTCATGCGCTCGGTCCAATCCTCCTGAACGAGAGCCAAATATTTACCCGTCCGGACCGATCAAACTCAGTCGATAAGCATTTTATCATATGTACCTTGAGTGTTGAAATTTCAACCTGCATATTAGCATTTAGGTACCAGCATTTGAGCTAACTACATTAAAAACTAATCATAACGACTTAATTCTATAAAACAAGCAAGATAACTTGCTACCTAGAGAGCTAACTTGCTAAATCAACTTAATGTACTGCATTATAAGATTAAAATTTCACTTGTTTGTTCCTATCAAAATCATTGGTAAATATCAGTCGACAGCTGCGTGACAGAGCTGAGTAACGTATGTGCACGCGCTAGGTTTCGGCGCGGAAACACAGATTTTGAGTCGTTCGCATGCATTGTTGATTTTCTATTCTGTTGCTTCGAGGCGTTGTTTTCCTTGCCAATTTTTTTTTGCCGAACAACTTCCAAAAACTTTGTACACCTCTTAAACAATTGCAAATTAATTTTCTCCTTAGATTTAGAAATAGGAAAATGCGTTCGACGACGAAGTGCCGCGGTTATAAATGCCAGCCCCTTATTGCTTTCGCAAATTTCGCCAAGTTTTAGACCTCGCATGCTCGAGCCCGCATACCTTTGATGTTATTCAGCTCTGTCCAACTGCGTTCATTGAAGCCAGTTGCACGGGTTTGAAAGTGTATCTTCCAGACAACAAAAACAACAAAGATGAAGTGAGCAAGGAACAGATTTGGTTCTACGAGGAAATGTATAAAGTCCATGAGAAAGAGTTTCAAGAGGAGTTTGATTTGGAAACTGATAATGATGCTCTCTGTTTCATACTTAGGGAACGAGATAATCTCTTGAACGAGTTAGTGAAGTTCTACTCTCAGCTTCATGAACATGAGAAGCTTGTGAAAAACAAAAAGGACAAGTTGGCTTTGTACAAAATGTGTGTGGTGAACGCAGGTTTCCTAGGTGACAAAGAAGATGGGTTGGGATGGAAACAATACAGAAGAGTGGTAGAATGTGTAGAAGAGATTGAAATTGGCTCTCTCTATTGGAGACGGAGTCCAGACTTGATGAGGAAATGATGGCCAGTTCTAAAGAAGGAGACAAAAACAGATTTTTACCTGGAAAGGAAACAGCATTTTTAGCCGAAGGTGGTCAAACTGAAGTCAGAGGCACTAGGTAAGGTTCATTATCATTATCAGTAATTTAACTTTCAGTTTTGAGTTTGTGAAACTCTTTCAGGTTTCTCACTCTGTTGTGAAACCTTCTTAATAGGAAAACAGTGTTAGGTCACAGGATGTACTGTACATTGTATGTGAACCAAAGTATGTTGGATTATGTTTACTGCAGTGCTCTTGTCTAATATGTGAGTCGACACTTGGTCAACATTCTGTTGGTCGAGACTCAGTAGACATTCAGTGGGTTGACACTTAGTTGATAACTGGTCAATAACTGGTCGATAACTGGTTGATAACTGGATCGTTCTCATATACGTGGTCAACAGTTAGTAGACAATTGGTCGATAGTCAGTCCATGTTGGTTGATAGTCAGTCGATAGTTGACAGATACTTGGTAGAAACTTTGTTGAGAGTCGATAACCTATATCTTGGCTGACATATCTTGACCGACATATTGACCAAGTATCTACTGACTCTTGATGGATGTCAATATATGGATATATCGAGTGAGTATCTACTGACTGTTAACAGATATATTGACTGATAACCCACCTGATATATCGGTCGAGAGCACCTTCAATAAACATAATCCAGCATGTTTACATTCAATTTGTTTCTTTTTTTTTTCAGTATTGTTTTGGGTTAAATTTTTTTCATTATGTGACTAATAGTACCATTAAATATAAATCTAAACGTTGATAACAGAGAGGTCCAGATTGGGTACAGGCAGGTTACGTAGTCCTTCTTTTAGACTTGGAAATTTGTTTAGCAAGCAAGTCGCATGACCTGGATAGAACCAATGGTCATGCGTCATGCCAGTGCATTTTTTGAATTGCAAAGTTAGTTCAATATATGTAGTGCTGCTTCGGAAGCTATGCATGCAGAACAGTTTGTTTTCCTTACTTCTAATGTGTTTGATATGCTGATTCTTGAGCAATGATAGTGAAAATGAAAAACTGTTCTTCTTTGAAATGGAATGGAAGCAAAGCACTTTCAAGGACTAAAAGTTCTTTTCTTTAATTTAACAGGGTCACTGTACCAAAACACACCCCCCACTGTATTTCACAAGAGGCAGTATTTAGATCTGACCAGACTTTACAGGAGAGCAAAGTGGAACAAGCAAGACAACATGAGGTAAAGGTAGAAATATAGAATCTCATATATTGTGCAATTCCCATCATTGATGAAGATTGAGGTTTTTGAAAGATTCAGCGGACTGCAAACTACTCCTCATAGTGGGAGACATCTGTAACACTTCTCTCTTGTCCTTGGAAGTATCTTGTTGATATTTGGTCTTGCCAAGTGAAATGCAGTCTAAGTCTAGTGCTGGAGGAAAATTTTGAACCATTGACCAAGTTTGTCAACAGGGGCATATGCAGAAATATGCCATTTTTTCAAATCTATTAACCAATTTAACCACAAAAAAAAGTTGTCTGCTGCTTTTAGTCCGAGAAAACGCTTGAGTGTGAGGAAGGACTTAAAATGTAAGAGAAAGCGACTGTAAATTTAGGTTGATCCCCAGATATCAAGATTTTTTTTTTCATTGTTTGAGGGATTTTCTCTAAAGGTAGCTGTTATTGTATAGTAGTCTCTGTAATTCAGACATTCCATCTTTCATCGATTGCTGTTTTTGGAGATTATTTTAGTTGGAGACTCCCGCTCTTGAATTCCCCTCTTTTAAATTAACCAGAGTTGGCATCTTTCTGATATTTCCTCTGCTGCTATTCCTTTGTTTTGCTTTCGTTTTCTTTTATGGCAAGGTTAATCGTTGCAATTTCTGTTTGAGACATGTTCTTTTCAGAAATTCCCTTATTTTAAGATTTCCCCTTTGAGTTATGTGATCAGATACATTTCATAGACTCTAAGCAACTGACACGGGCCCTCTTCTTCAAATTTTTTTACCGCAAATTTTTGTTGAAATCACCTCTAGACAGTCTTCCATGATACCATGTCCTAATTTCATACCCAAGTCCAAATTTTCCGTTAGTTCGAGAACTCTCGGTTAGCATCAATTTGTGGTTATTGCCATTGGAAATAATTTGCGTTTCTGTTGCAGGTTTCTTCGGAAGTCAGCCCTTCTACAGCATGCCAAGAGAGGAAGTTGGAAGTTGTTCTTCTATGTGACGAGTGGACCTCGCGTGGGGGTGGTTTGTCCACGGTAAACAGGACACTGGCAAAAAAATTGTCAGGGAGGGAGGGTGCGGGTTTCTGTCTTCCTTCCTGAAGGTTCTTGTTCCCAGGAGCATAAAGAGGAGGCTGAGAGGGACCGGATCAACGTGGTTGAAGCGAAAAGACGCGTAGCCTACGATGATCCTCATCTCTGGTTGAGCTTTCCACCTTCAGACCTGAAACCTGATGTTGTAATTGGTCATGGTCAGAAACTAGGTCGTCAAGAACAAATTATCAAACGTCCACCCCACAATTGCAAGTGGATTCAAACAGTGCATATTGATGCAAAAGAGTTCAGCGAGTACAAAAGCGATAGTCAGGCTGTTTGTAAGGACAAAGAAAAACAAAGCACTGAAGTTGGTCTCTGTAAAATGGCCCATCTGGTCGTAACTGTTGGAGCCAAACTTTATGATGCTTTCTCTAAATACCTTGGATCTGATTTGAATATCTTTAAACTCACTCCTGGTCTTTCTTAGGAATTTAAAGATGTGAATCATGTTCCCCGAGAGGGTTCCGACTACAAAGTGTTGTTATGTGGCCGCGGTGATCCAGAAGACTTCAAGCTGAAAGGTTACGACACTGCCGCCAAGGCTTTTGCAAGCAGCGAGCTTAGAGAACCCTCCTATCAACTCATTTTTGTGGGTGCTTTAAAGGGAAAACAACAGGAGATGAAAGAAAAGCTCCTCGAGTTTGGCATTGTAGAAAATCAGATTTTCGTTAAAGAATTTGTAGAAAGTAGGGAAGAAATGAAGAGGTTGCTTTGCGAAGTTGATCTGGCAATCATGCCGTCGCGGACTGAGGGTTTCGGTCTTGTTGCCCTTGAGGCACTCTCTGCAGGTCTTCCTGTTCTTGTAGGAAACAATTCAGGCTTTGGGAAACAATACAGAAGAGTGGTAGAATGTGTAGAAG